AGGCTTGTTGCTACCAAAACAGTGAACAAGGAGAAAATTTTTATTTTTATTTTTTAAAGATGTTAATTTGATTTTAATTTGCGATTGTTTAAAAAACTCTGACAATATTTTATAGCAGACATTATGAAAATTATATCCTGTATTAATTGTCTTCCTAAGAAACACACATTTCCAGTCAGTCTCAGAAAATCACCCTCCTACAGTATGTTTTATCCTATCTTTCTAATTACTATTTAAAATCAAAAACAAAATGAATAAAAAGACTGGAAATTGAGAACTTCAGATTGTGGTCTACTACAGAGCCCACCATTAAAAATTTCAAGTTATTAGAAAAATATTAAAGCTTTAAAATTGTGAAACAAACTTGAAAATTAAGAATCAAATGATCTTATACCAATTAATTCCACTAATCAATTAAAATTATAACATTAGAAATGTCTTATATTAGTTACAACAAAGCACAAATATTTATAAGAACTAAAAAAGTATTTTAAAAAATAAATTCTTAAGAATGACATTTATTGCTTTTAAAACATTTACCGTGTTAAATGACAGTTTGCTTGTATTTTAAAATTAGAGTTTTTATCCTTTGTTGAATGAAACGTCTATGTGTGACGGGGCGTGAAAGGTGGGTCTTTTGCTTCGTGCAAAGGAATATATTGCTTTTACATCTCTCAATTTATAAAAAGCAGACTGTATCGTGTTTGACTGTATAAGTTAGGCAAAAGCCATACATTTCCTTTGAGGCATAAAAACAACAAGCATATCATATGAAAAAAATCTGGTTATTCCTTTCCTTAGATGGAATCATCTGTAAGTCAAATGCACACAGAGTTGCTTAAGCGCATTAATGATAGAGTTGCTTAAGCCGTGAAACATTGGTAGTATGCAGAGAGTTCGTTTGTAATGACTTTTGTAAGCTCTGAACTGCATAGGAGTCCCTCAGTGTGTTGTATAAAAAAAGTCCTTTATAAATTCCCCACGAAGCCATCTCTTCCTTTAGACAGAAACCCTTGTTCCTTCTACCACAGTTAATTTAATTGATCAGTACATCCGTATTGGTTAGGTTAGGTGATTTGAATATAACAAAGCACACAAGAGATATCCGACTAAGGGGTGAGATGCATTTCGTGGAGGACTTTCTAAAAGAAACAAGCTCGTATTCACGTTACACATAGGAAAACCACCAAAACCGACCATGAATACAGCCTGTTCGCTTGCGCTCAAACGATTCAGCGATTTAACCACTCGGCTACTGGAGCGACACTTCCATATTATATTTTCTAAGGAATTTGTTAGCTTGTATTTATAATGTTATTTATAACTGTTTATAGGTCTGCCATTTTTTTTTTTTTTTTTTTTTTTTTTTTTTTGCCTTCAAAACGGTTGATGTATTTTTTTGTGGCATTGGAAAGGGCTTTTTTTTTAATTCAGATAATCAATCCTGCAAAGATTATAACAAGTAACAATATCGTTCTCACATTATTAGGAAAATGCCCTCCCGTAACTGACAAAAACATTCATTACGATAATCTTAGCAGTACTGTTTATTCAGGTTTATGAGGTTTTCAAGCTTTATGAGGTTGAAAATTATACACATATGTCGAAGATGAAGCAGAATACCATAACAATTGCTTTTTTCTCCTCCCGGTCAGTGAATGAATACCTTAATTGCTTTTCTCGTCAAGAGTGGGGTGAGGTCGGGGTTGCTGGAATTTGCAGTTTTGCCAATAATGGCAAATTCTTAAACAAAAAGCTGGACGCAACGTGATCTATCGTTTCACACATTTTTTTCCTTCCGTTCTCTTTATTCAACAGTATTCATATATCACAGCGTAAATTTTACAATATTACTTCTTGAAATGGTACAACTATATTCTACGGCGGACGCATACACTTTCTACTATATCCAGTATTCTCAACTTAAGTTGACCTGAAGTACAGTACAAATTTTTTTTAAATACAAGTATAAGGACTGGAAGACCACATAAAAAATTTTCAAATTTTTTTTCAAATTTCAAAGTTAATTTATTTAAAATTTAAAAAATGTAAAAACATGAATACCTGTAGCATTTAAAAAAAATTTTGTAAGTACATACCTACAACTAACGGTTGCAAAAATGAAGGGGTTAATCTTTGGATTATGGTAACTTATCGATTTTTTGGTGAAAATTTGACGACCAACTATGCTACAGCAACCTGCTAGTTTTTGTTTGGACGCCATTTTGTTTTCACGAAATAAAGGCACTTTTTTTTTTTTTAATCAACCTTTTTTTTCCAACAATCTGCTAGCCGAATTACGCTTATGCTAGAACTTTTATGGAACAAATGTGCTTAATCATGACGAAGATTTGGTGTGAAATTGGGACAAAGTGCAGAATCACCCACTGCTTACCGCGTTTTTAAGAATTGTACATACACAGTATCATCCATGTACACGTTGACCTATTTTCACTTAAAAAAAACATACCAGAATTGCTCAAAAATGGCACTGCGCACACTTTTGACTTTATCCATGTACACTGCTAAAGTCCTAGCTAGTAACCTTTATCACCTTACCAAACTGTCGCCAAACTACCTGTTACCATATTTAAAGATTAACCAATGAAGGCTGTATAAGTGCTTTTGTGGACATGGTACAAGTATTATACACTATATGGCAGTCATGGTACATGCATGATTGTTCATAAGGCTCATCTGAATATTGGTGCTTGCATTTTATGGCAATCACCTTCGCATAGTTTGGCGAATTTTACGGCAAAAAAAAAAAAAAAAAAAAAATTACTTTTCATAGTAAAAAATTATACACAACATAAATATTTTATATTTCAACTATGCACTTATTTAAAAAAGGGGTAATTAAAATTAATTACAAACAGGTTTTTGATTTTGATGTGGTGCAAATCTCATAGCAATGACTTCGAGAAATGATTTGAAGCACTGTTCTGTTAGCGATTTTAACAAAAAATACTCTATCCCTGCAATTTCTTCTATCATAAGGAACTCCCACAAGCACATATTTTAAAATCAAGTTTAAGGAGGCGACAGTTTATTCATAAAGCAGATGAAACTTGGAGTTAATTAAACACATAATATGAAAATGTCGACTTTAAAAACCGAATACGCACGGTTTTCTGAATAATTTTTATGTGTGTTAGGTATATTTTGAAACTTTGGTGATTTCTACTAAAGTAGCTACTATAATATTTAAGTGCAAGAATATTTTTAATTAATTTTAGAAATTTTAAATCAGTTATTAAAAAAAAACAATCTAGGTCATCGATAATCTAAACTCCCAGTTTCCATGCATGTTTATTTCTAATCCAAACTCACAATTTCCATGCATATTTATTTCTTTAGAAAATCAGGAATTTTACTTTGTTTAGGAGAACAATTAAATATTTATTGCCTTCCACTGCATGTTTTTCAAAGTGCTATTTCATCATTGTATTTGAATCCCCCTAGATTGATAAAAATGGATAGTTTCAACAGTTCCTCGGGACTAATGTAATTGTTAGCATCTTTATTTGTATTTTCAGTATCACTCTTTGTCTCTTCTGTTCTTGCGACATTTAAAATGATATCCACATCACACAAGCACTGAAATCCCAGCTCAGTCAAATCATTATCAAACCATTCAGCAATGTTTACCCAATCGACATTTTCGAAGAATTTTACATCTTCAATACTTTGGCATATATCTTTAGTTATTGCTTCTCCTTTAAGATTAGATAAAACTCTAATTTCAAAGTTAGTAAGAACTTTGTGTATGATAAAACATTACTGGTTTTACTTTTGACCAAGCTTTTGCTACACCATATATGGCATATAATACAATCGATCATGCCTTTGAATATGCACACGCAGTACGAATTCAGTTTGCAGAAATAATACCCGATAATTGCAGAAATATACCCGATAATTGCTGAAATTAAATCTAAGCACATAATTCAGTGATTTTTTACAGCATGCTCGAACTTACAACTGTTTTACACACTCTATTGCAGTGCTCCGCCACTTTTTCTCACCTGCGAAGCACAAAAAATCTTTCTGGAATTTCGTGGCACACCAAAGAGTTCCGAGTTATCAAGGAAGTGCCAAAAAAATTCAAATGCTGACACACTTACAATCACACACACAACCACACAACAGTGAAATATATAAAAACATTTAAAATAGACATTATTAAGGAAAAAAAATTGTCATTGTGTATTAAATACATGATAAAAAAATTGCAAACTGTCAAATACATGTATTTGATTGCGGCGCACCTATATCCTACTCATGGCACACCGGTGTGCCGCGGCACACTGCTCTATTGCACAGTATTGAGTGTGTATGCTTGTGTACCGCTTTGGATAATCTGCAAACTGAATAATAAGCAGTGTTGCGGAGCACTGCTCTATTGCACAGTATTGAGTGTGTATGCTTGTGTACCGCTTTGGATAATCTGCAAACTGAATAATAAGCACCTGGATAATTGAGCGTACATCATATTAAGATAAAGGTACAGCATGGATAAAATATTTTGCTGAAGCATTACGGATAAGAGCAGTTCATTAATGAAATTTTGCATAACAATCCCAGACAGTCAATTATTTATTATTTTTTCCCTAATTAAAATGCTGTTAAAGTATTTATATGTTTCTAGTTACATTTATTTAAATTGCGCGGATATTTCGAAATATATCTTCCTAATCGCTTAATATTATCAAAATAGTCATGGACAAATGTGATCACTTTTAAGTGGCGTCTATTTGTATTCCGGCTGGTCCAACTCCCAACTAGTGATCTTGACTGTCATCAAAAATAATCGAAAAATCACCTGTTACCATATTCTGATGTTCAGCTAATGTTTCAATAAACAAATACATTTCGAATAAGAAAAATTCGCAAATATGTATACATATTATTAAGCTGTGCATACTCTCAAAATACCATGTACAGCAATTTATATTTCATCAAATATAAATTTGAAATTACTAAAATGAAAATTATACCTTTATTAATCTTTCTCGACAGCGCCTCTCCAAGATTTATGTCATCCAAATTATTGGCAGGAGTTATAGGAACTGGAATGACAACTGATGACAAATCATCTTTTCCGGATTTCCACCGAAGATGCGACGAATTACATCCAAGTGGTGCAATTATGTTGTTCCTAATTAATAATCTATGAAAACAATGCAATCTAAGAGAAATAACACACTGATTATAACTAGCTAAACATTTTAGATATGAGTTAATCGCAGAAGTGCGCATACTGCCTGATGAATCGCGCGAAATTTTAAAAACATTGACTTTCTAAACGTCGGGCACATTAAATGCAGACTTGATCCTTGCTTTTCCCATGTCTTAAATTTCGCCACAGATTGCGCCAAAAGAGTCTGTCTCATTTTCTCGCCAGATAACGTGTTTAACGTGAATGATATCAGAAATTAGTGAAAGTAAACAGTATTTTTCTATTCACAAAGGTAAAAATTTTAATGAATCAGAAGTACTTTTCCGTTTTGTAATGTTTTGTTTCCGTTTTGTAATTTTTGTAATTCAGGTAAATGAAATGAATAAAAACTCCAGGTTGGAATTTGATCTGGAAAATCATCCAGTATATATCAAGATTATCTAAAACATTTAATTGAAAATGGCAGTACATTTACTTGTATATCATAAACTTCTCCATTAATCAAAAATGAAATCTTGATAAATAAATTTCCTCATTGCATTCAAGATTTTAAAATTGTTAACTGCTTCTGCTTTATGGTAAATTTATGTATATTCAATTTCTTTTTACACACACAGATCGTATTTTATTCTCGAGTGTCAAGATGTAGAAACATCTTTTTACTCGACTTCTGATAAAGATCGGGAGGGGGGAGAAAGCGTGGAGGTAGGAAAGGGAGGAGGGGACATTCCGCGCTAGAAGTGAAGCACTGCTTTGAAGCTTGGGTCACCAGACAGGGTGTTTTTTGTTTACATCAGAAGCTCGCTTGACAAAATTCTGATAGTATTTCGACATACGACAGTTCCATAGAAATCGAAAAAGGGACACTCTCGCATGAAAGAAACATTCATAGTGTGATGGATAATAGCAATTTGTATGGTTTACTGACATTTACGCAAAAATCACATCTTGGTTGTTTTTCGATAACTAACAACAGCGATTTTGATTATGAATTTGTTTTATAAAATTCTAAGCTGTTGCACTACAAAAATATAGATTTTAAGAAAATTGCTAAAAGAGATCTCTGCCAAAATTTATTTTCTAGAAGATTTGAAAAGTTTGAAACTTGATGGCTAAATGTAAATATAAAATTATGTATGTTATAAATATTTGTAATTAGGCACATAGGTCAGATTAAGTTTTTATTAAATAGAGTAACGCATGCAAGGGCTATCTGCCTAAAGAGAGAGATGCCATCGTGGGGAATTTTGAAGAAAAACTGACCTTTGAGTGAGGTATTAAAAATAATACTTATAATTTTCATTCAAATTATATTCATATATATTTTTTATGTAAAACTTTCGGGTGTATGCTAAATTAGTGTAAATTACTTTACACGAAAAATATAGTGAATGAATGCACAGAAATTAAAGATTTGCACATGCCGGAAATGATAAATAGGAAATATGTATGGGTATTTATGCATGTGCTTGCAAAAAGCATGTATCTGCCTTTGACAAAATACTTAAATATTCATTAAATTATTTATAAATGTATTTGAAATGAAGAATTTATTCACTTATAAAACAACTGTGAAGTACTGTGAAGAAATCTAATGATTAAATGTATCTAATTTATAATGATTATAAATATTATCTAAATATATAATAACCTTAATATTGAATTGTAAACATAAATTGAAATCCTGTTGACAAATACGTTATAAAAACTATTTAAGCAAGAATTGTTCGTATTGGAAAGCAATCTGTTAAAAGGTATTGTAAAGCAAATGCTATGAGATGCGCACTTAAGAACGTAATAAAGAGTTTTGGAATATGTATTGTTGAAATGAAGGGTAAAAAAAAATCTGATAAGTAATTAAAAGAATTATTCCCTTTACATTTTATAATAACTCAGTTACAAGTTTTAAATAATACTTAAAAAAAAAAAAAAAAACTTATTTTATTCTTTTTCAGAAATGTTCAGAGAAAGTCAAATACTATTTTCCTAATAATTCTCTAATTTAAAATGAACCGAATAGAGCATTAATTATAAATTGACTTACATTTTTCGATTTAAAAGAAGCCAAAAAATCATGTCATATTTAAGAAAGTATTTTAGGAAGAAGCTCTATAAATAGAAAAGAAATAATGCATAATTTTAATATTAATAATACAATAAACTTTGATCTTAATTTTTGTACCTTAACCGAATAAAATCGAATTACCTTAATTTTTTTTTCTAAACGAAAACTTGTGAAAATATTTCATTCAAATTAAACCATTCTGAGAAAACTGTCCTTTGAAAAGTATAGCATTTAATTCCGTTCAGAATGAAATGTTGTTTAAAAATATGTTGTTTTCACATACTTAGGACTCTGAAGTGTTGTAGAAAAAGAAAATATATACATTTATATGTATATTTGCGACGTAATTACAAAATATTTACACCCGAACGCGTCAAATCCCATAGAACTCAATGGTAAATGACCCAATGTTTTGGTCACCACGTAGGGATCGCCGGTGCTTCAGAGCAGGGTACGGAGAAACTTGTTTAGGGCGACTCCTTCTTAATTCCTACCTCCATGGGAGAAAGAGAAGGGTGAAAGGAGTGTGGGAGGCGGAAAAAAGAGAGTGAGGTCCGCACTAGCGGCGGCGAAAAAAGCGGAGGTGTCAAGTTCAGTGTCGTTATAAGATGTAGTCGCGGGTGGTAAAACCACAGAGTCAGTTTTGCGTGAATGAGTCAATTAAATTTCTTTTTATCAATGTTGGTAATTGTTTTCGACCCATGGTTGGTTGATAAAGACTAAATCTGCACACCGTTTTTCTTCAGAACGCCCTGTCCAGTTTTATTCATCATGATAATTAATATCCAATTAATTTTAATGGCTTCTCATAGCAATTTGAGATGAAAAAATCATAAATGTGGCTATTTCCTCAAATAAAAGATGGTTCAAAATTCATATTTGAATAAGATAAGGCTGTACTTTATCAGCAGAAGTTGAAGCAAGACAGCACCTTTGCATCCAACAAGTAGGCATATTAAGTATCGCAGGGCCTTTGTTAATTGCTGAGCTTCACTCTGAATGAAATTCCGAGTGTCCCGCTCCATATCCCCTACCACCAACTTCTTGAGAGGATTTTGTTTGCTGTGTGTATTGAGTGTGCACTTACCACACAGACAGTACATGCTTACAATCATCCATACCTTCTCCAGGATTCGAACTTATGCCCTTTGGTATCAACAGACAGCGTCACTAATCTGTCTGGGCAGCATCTTATTGACACAGGTACAGGTTGAAGCAAGGCTGGTACCTATGCATCCAAACAGGCATATTAAGTATCGCTAAAGAAATCCTGCAACTGCAACAGGTCTTAGAACTGAAGATTCAATGAAAGAAAAATTGCAGACCTGTGAATTCAATGCAAGGGGGTCATTCAATAATTAGAGAATTAAGGATCAGACATAATTCAAAAATGAAAATCAATCCAGAGGGCACAAATTCTAATTCTAAAAATCCCTTGACCTGAATTCAATTCTTATTTAAGTGTGTCATGCGATATTGATATTGCTTCAGAATAATGATGGATATCCCACAGAAAAAAGTATTCTATGAATATAATTAAAATTGGATATAAGCTTTGTTGTTGCTTATGCTCACTTGTCTGCGTAGTCAGCCCAAGCCCACAAAATCCCTCGTGACAAGGAGTAACATTAGATTGCGCCTGCCGTTGGCAACAGCCTTAAGCACCAATCAGGTGGCAGTGACACATCGTTAAATGTAGGAAGCTCCGATGTATTTCTGAGCTGTGATTGGTTTAAAATCGCCTACACGGAAACTATATTTGGCGACAATATCGCCAATGGGAAAAATTAAAGACATGTCTTGTTTTGCAGCTTTTAAATCGTTTTGTCTATGGTGCCTTAGTTTGCCGATTGTAATTGAAACTGAAGTGTGTTTGATTAATTATATTTTTGGCAGAATCCTGAATTTATTTTTTATATGCGCATATAATATTACTTTATATTTGCGGTTCCCATGTACATTGACTGAAATGTTCATCAATTTTATTTCTATACCGTAAATAATATAACAGTGTATACACCAATATTTGTTTATTACCGATTTAAATTCATGTTCAAAATGTTTTGAAATTACTGTAACAATAGTGCAAGCTTAGTATTTCGTTTCTTAATTGCTGAAATTTATTAATATTACGTTTTACTTTTGTTTCCTTGTTTAATTCAAAAACATGTCTTTAATTTGTACAGAACCGTATTTATGATACGAGCGTATGTCATTTTTATGTTTTCTTCGATGTTTTGTGTTTCAGGCATACTGCATTTCATTACAAACATCAAATCTGTGTGAAATAAATATGTTGTAAAACATGCAGGAAATTCACTTTTTATTCTTAACAATATTTATTATTTGTACTACTGTGTCACATTGTAGTACTTGTTACAAAAATTTCAAACTTTATTTCATCTTTATTATATGGAAATTAGGTTAAATAATATGATGTAGTGGTTCTTTATGTTCACAGTAACAATATTATTACATTTGTTACTCAATTTTTCATTCATATTATTTATTACAAGGAATTCATATTATTATTAATGAATTATTTATTCATTAGGCTAAGAAATTGTCAAGAAAAAATTTTGCACCTAGAAGGGGAGAAATTAGTTATGTTAAATAATTATTATTGTTTCAAATCATTCTTTATCAGCTAGTTCTGCGCATATTAAATACTGAAAGGTTAATATATATTACAACCAGAGTCCATTTATTCACGCATAAGACAAATAGCACTTGTAAGCCTCATTTATTTAGTTAAAAGGCCCGGGTCTCTCATATTCTTATTTACCTGACGCTAAAAAAAAAGAAATTCTCCATTGCTTCAATTAAACTTACTTTTTTTCCCCATATTTCTGCAGATAAAACAAGTCCGTCACAAAAGTATTCGAACACCGGTACCCTATCAGAAAATGACAAGATGGCGTTTTTTTTTCTCTTTCTCTCTGTGTGTCGTGTTATTCCATCCTAGGTTTTCTTCTCCCCCCCATCTTGGAAAAAACTGGAAAAAATTGGTTACGATCTCTTTTTGAATGGGGAGATGCCATTTTGAGAAAAAGCTGACGACCCTATCTTGGAGAATGAACATGACCGCCGCTCTACACACCCTTTTACTCTCTCTCTCTCTTTGAATTGGGAAGCCATTTTGGGAAAAAGCAGACGACCCTATCTTGGAGAATGGAAATGAACGCCTCTCCCTCTCTCTTTGAAATGGGAAGCCATTTTGGGACCCTCTATTCTTGGGGAGGGAGGAGAAAAACTGAAGTCT